AGGCATGAGTGCTCCCAAAGCCCTACAGTGGCATGGTTGTGAAGATTTCACAGGAAGGACAGTAAATAAGTAAGCTAGATGTGAAAGAATAGGTAAGATTTCATTACAGATTGTTTTTTCCATCATGAGGACGTTGCAGTGTTTATTTCAGAATTATAAAAATTTAATTTGTATAGTTTAAGTCTGTTGGTGCCGGCCAACAAGCTCCCACCCCTCCCGGGGTTGGTGTAGACACCCAGACAGGCACCCGAAGCCCCCAGTTCAGGCTGCCTGGGACAGAGCAACACAAGACAAGGGGAAAGTCAAGTGAGCACAGGGGGGAGCTGAGTGAATGGCCTGGCAACATCTGGGCCCAGGCAGGGGTCTGTCCTGGCTGCTGCAAGATTAATGTGAGTAGCGGGTGGGTGGGGCGGGCTGTGTCCAGCTCCATGGGCTCTGGTCTGGCACCATTAATCTTTTCCTTTGTGAACACTGCAGAAAGTGGTTTGCAGATTAGAAAAGAATGCATAATGCGGGAGTCATCTTTGCATGTGCTCGAAACAACTGCCTCCCTGAGTCTCAACAGGAGAAGGGCTTCCCTCCACGTCTCACCAGAGGACAGGTAATTAATTCAGCAAGAGAAGGTGGGAGCATGATCAAGATCATTGCAACCAGGAGAGAAGCAGAAACAAGCAGCCACATGCTTTGAAGCTAAGGGGTCAGCGTGCCTCTTCCAAGGGGCCCACCCGCTGCTGCCTGTCCCCAGAAGGTGGTGAAAATGCACCCCACTTTTCTTGTGGGGGGAGGAGAACCTCCGTCCGATGGATGAAGTTTCGAGTCAGATGTAGTAGAGCAGTCATAGCTAGGATTTCCTTTTTCCAACCACAGTCCATGTCCGTAGTGATTTCCGTCTTCAATCTCTGAGATTCTGCAAGCAGTTTGGAGTCCCGGAATCCCAATTCACCTGCTACAATGAATAAAACAGGATGTGTGTGTGTGTTCAGGAATGACTGTCAGCTGCCCTTCAGAGAGTCAGATTCTCCAGCAGATAGAAAACACAATTCTAATCACCAGTTAGCAAAGGGAAACTTCTAGCTAAATCAACTCTTCTACCAGCTGGTCTTCTGTACTTTAATTTCTACATGGAGACTGTATCCTATCATCTGAAAGCTTTGTAGCTTTCTCTACCTCCTCAGAGCCATATGTGTTATGACCTGAGCTCTTCATATGTGTTGTGACGTGTCATCTGCATGAGAGCCCTGGAATGGAGCTGACTTCACTCCTAAGAAGAGAACGAGAATTAGAGGTTGAACAACAGGAATTTGAGCTCAAATGTTATTCTTTTCTCTTCTCAAATTAATGAAAGCAAAATAGATCTGTCACCTGGGAAACCAACTGGAAGTTTCTATGCAGTTTGTGACTTGAGAGGCACCTAGGCCAGAAGTGGGGGCCCCAGGAAGCTTGGCAGGCTGGGCTGCTGTGAGCTACGCAAGGCCTCTGCAGTACACTTTGGTCAAAATGTGCAAAGGTATTAAGAGACCAAGGTTGGAATGTTTGCAGGGAATAGGTCAGCCCCAGCACTACTTGAAACTTGATGTTGTAGGGGACTACTGAACATGATTTGATTATGGTCGCCCTGGAGGAATTTCAAGAGCCGTTCCATGGGGAAGCTGGAGACAAATGGACATCTCAGACAGTCACTCCAGTATCCCAGGAGCCTAACGGAGACATCCCAGCCTCAGAAAGCAACACCAGGATTGCAACAACCAGACAGAATGAAAATCAAACACCATGAGCAGGGACAGGGTGTACAAGATGGGAGAGAAATCAGAGTTTCAGTCCTGGAGAACTCAGGGTAAAAGTAACACCAAGTGGCCCTCCCTGGGGGCGCAGCGGGTGAGAGCGCAGCACTGAGAAGCTTAGGCCACTTCTGCATGAGTTCGATCCCCGATCCCCGCCTGTCCCGGAGGTGACCACATGGCGTGGCAGACCTCTCCTGACCCGCCCGCTGCTCCCCTCAGCAGTGGACTTCGTCCATCTGCCTGTTCTGCTCCCCACTCTGTCCCTGATGAATCCTCTCACCCTCCGCATCTCTGGCCTGTACCCCAGTTCTGTATGCATAAAAAATAACACCAAGAACAGAAAGGACACGGAGGTGTCTGACTGGACACCTAGGTTTGGGGCTGGACTTCCCAATGTCCACGCTGAGGAACTGGGGGAAAGAGCTGGGGTACAGGAAGGGAAGTGTCTATAGAAGGAATGTTGTTCAGTTTCTAGTGGTGGATATAACATAACTGTTCAGAGGTGGAATACACGAGGAAAGAATGCTAGACCCTGTTAGAAATCGCAGGAGGATTCTGCTTCTCTTTCATGCTGAGGTCCATTTCAGCGCAACATTTGATTCCAGGGTTACTTACAAAGAGGAGTGTTGACATGATCTTCGAGTGCTCTGGTGGTGGGTGTGGTGTGGTAACAATCCCTGAAGATCCTATAGTGATATAAACCAGTGTTGACTCAATAAAAATATTATAGCAGCAATTCAACATTTTAATAGTAAAATGAGTTTCAGAAAAAAAGGTAAAAATATTTAAGTATAAAATAAAATTAAAATCATCATGAACTACTTAAATGCTCACAGAGGATGGGATCACCCAATGGAATACTATACAGCTATAAAGAAAGATGAAAGTCTGCATTTACAGAAAAATGAAGAGCTCAGGGAAATCACATGTGGTGAAACAGGTCAAAAAGACAAGACAAATTTTGGTCACTGACATGTAAAATACTTATAAAAATGAGTGGGCTCTCATCAAATGAGGCTTCTAGGTGAAATGGAAGGGGAGCAGGGAAAAGAGTCAGGGGTATAAGGGAAAGTGGGAAAAAGTAGTATTTTGACAGAGGAAAATAAAAAACCAAAATAAAAAATATAAGTGAATTAAAAGATGACCGTGGAAACACAACATTGAACAAAATTCTTCGGCAGCCGCACTAACAAGAATGGCTGCTGCTCCCCGGGTGGGCGCCACCCCTGGTATTCAGGTGCAGCTTCCGTAAAGCACCTTCCGTTTCGGGGGGTGAATAAGGGCCCACAGCAGCTGCCTTCCTACTTCTTTGTAGTTGAGCTGCTATCGGGTTTTGGGGTTCCTGGATTTGGGGATTCCTCAGTGCTTGGCTGTGGTGTGAGAAGAATTCGCAGCCTGTCTTTAGCAGAAACAGAGCAAAGTTCATTGGAGACAGTGACGGGACCCCGGGGAGGAGCCGCTGGGCGGAAGAGTCCCGAGCGAGGAGTGTGAGGACACTCAGCGGAGGGCAGGAACTGCCCACTCTGTCCCTCCCGGGGTGCCCTGTGCGGGCACACCCAGGGGGTGATGTGCCAGCCCTGGCACAGGTGGGCAGGGAGCGCACTGGCCTGAGGTGCCCTGGGGTCTGCCACCTCCACCCTTCCCTTGGCAGGGGGAGACGTGGGGTTGTTTTCAGGCTGTGCTTGTGCTGTTTAGGGGCGATCGCCTTATCCCCCAAAATTGGCCTATTTCCAGAAACCGGCCCCTTCTGGGCGCTTCTGGCTCCTCTCTGGCTTCACTGCCGGCCTGGGGATGGCGAGGGGCTGCTTTTCTCCCCTCTGGGCTTGACCGGCGCTGGGCCTGGGCAAAGATGACCACTTCCCGTTGTTGAGGCAGCGCTCTCCCTGCTCTGTAAAGGAGGAGAAGGAGCACGCGCCACCCTGGAACTTGTAAACACCTAAACGACCACCTCTGCCGCCAGTGTCGCATTCAGAATACACAGAGAGCAGCCAGAGGCTTAATCCCCGCTCAAAGCCAAATTCCCTTTAACACGAGACAGAAAGGAATGGGGACAAGCACAGGGGGCCCTGAGGACGGTGCACGGGTGAGCTGTGGTGGGAATTTCACAGGGAAACCGTACATTGTACCGAAAGGAAGGCTAATGTAATGAATATTTAAATTGTTTGAATGAGAGAGAAACAGCTCAGAGATCAAGCGGACAGCCGCTCCCTCCTCAAGATCAAACAAAGTGCTCTGACTTTCAGTACTCCTGACCGCTGGACCTTAATCACCCTGAGGAGGGAGGCAGCTGAGGTTAGTCATGTCTAATTAAATTGTTCTGTGCCATTTAGATCCTAATGAGTGCCACGGCTCCCTTTCCCACATGGTGGTTGGTCAATTTGCCTGCATCTATCATCAAGCTTTCTCAATTAGTAGTAGTAATTAGAACCCAAAGTCAACAGCAGTCTGCAAGCAAGGTTAAGTAAACATCATCAAGTGAGTGGGGATGAAAATAACTATAAGCCTCGCAGTGCTATTCAGAGCCACGCAAGAGAACCTGCACGTCTCATAGACCTTCAACATGGGAGGGCTCATGTATTTGGGGTACAGAGGTGGGCGTGGTGGGGGGCAGGGTTTGCGTGAGATGATAAAAGTACAGGTTCCCAGGTCTCTTGGTTCCAGCTTATAAACTTGAAACCAGCCCACGGGGTGAGGATGGAATCTTTCGGAAGATTCCACCGGAGGGTCTGTCCCCATCACCCGGCCACCAACCCTTCCTGGAAGCAAGTCCCGCTGGAGCATAGCGACAGGAACACCTCTGAGTCCAGAGTGTAAGCAAAGTCCTGCTCAAGGTTTTGCTAATGAGTTTATGTAAGGAGAGGAAATGAGATTGTATTGACTTAGCTAACTCTTGCCCTTTACTTGTGGTGTTTCCTAACCAAATCAAACTTCAGCCCACACCCTGGAAGAGCAAAGAAAAGGTATCATTGTTGAGCCACTCCCTGTTCTATTCTTTCCTGAAATGACCAAGAATTTCCTGCTCTGCCGTCATAAAGCTCACTCTCTGAGAATGTTTGAAATGATTTAAAGTTCACTATCAATGACCGGGCCTTGGACTTGTGCTCTCCTGCTCTCTCCATCTTTGCCTGTCAGGAAAGCCAGATTCACGTCCGACCAGTGCCTGTTTCAGATGCACGACTGTGTGAACTCACGGAGCGCGACACTCCCCACTGAACCGTGTTTTTAAGCACACGGTCGGCGGCGTTAACGACATCCACGCCAATGTCCACCACCGCCACCGTCCTCTCCAGGTCTCTTTTCAGCTTCAAAAAATGGAACCCTGGGCCCTTTGATGTTGGAAAACTGCATTTAAAAACCTGTAAGAGAGAATACACTAGAATAAAAATTTGTTTGGGCTGACAGAGATTAAACATTTTTAAGACCTCACAGTCAGTGAAGCCCACCCCCACCCTCCGCCCACCATTGCTTTCAGAAATGTCCAGTTCATCCAAGTTGTCATTTTCTTGACTTTGCGTCTGTCTCCCTGACCCAGGATGCAGACAGAAGCTGCCTGTTGGTAGCGCCTCAGAGTTCTTTGGAAGCTCCCACAGACTGCACTTCATCCCTGCTGGCTCTGTGTTTGCTCACACAAGAGTGCCTACATCATTTGCCCTACAGTCGTGCTGGATGGTAGTAGTTTGAGCAGAAGGGACAGAAGTAGGCTGTATCGCCTTCAGTCCCCAGAAAGACTGATCGAAGTTCTCCTTGCGCCATGCTGACCCCTGTGCACCTGCCTGCAATGTCCGCTGGACACAGCTCCACAGTCATGGGCAGCTGTAGGGTGTGTGTGTAAAGAAGGCTGTGGTTCCTCATGGTTCTCTGAGCTTCCTGGATGTGTGTGTCTTGGGGTGGTAAGAGAACAATATGTCTGACCCCTTGAGCCTGACAGGGTTCAGTGCATGGGGTTCTGGGCCCCTCTGAGAAAGAATTCAGCCGACGTTCCCACGTCAGGCTTATTGAAGAAGGCAGAACAGGAGAGACAGATGCCTGCAGGCAGTCTTAAAGAATAAGAACTGCATTTTGCTAGGACAAGGGGTGTCCTTTTACAATGTTCTTTGTTGGAATTATTGTGGAAATTATTGCCCTGGAGTCAGATTGGGTTGGTCTTCTAAAAATTGATAATCTTCTCTGCCCCCATCTATGGCCGATAATCTTTTCTGGCCACACCTCAGATTCCTGGAAACTTCCATAACCTTGTTTATTCTAAGATTCATTAATCATCCCTCCCCCCACCTCTGCTGTTTGCCCTTGTAAAACCGCCCATCCTAAAATTTTCTAGGCTAAGTTTCCATCGAGCCCAGTCGTGCTTCTTCAGAGCACCCTGGATCTGAGAAATGGACCCCACAGTTAGTTCCAGACTATGAGTGACAGGCATTCCTGAGCTCAGGCCCTCTTAGGCTCTGAAAACCCCCCAAAAGAAATTCCAATGAGGGTTTCCCTGAGAGATGTTTGCTAGAAAAGTATGTTTTAAAAATACAATTTATGGATCCAAAGCTTTGTTGAAGTTTCCTGCCTGTTCAGCCTACAGGACATTTCCTAAATTGCAAAGAACTTGAACTAGAACTTGAGTGACCGGGTAGACACTCTTGAGCAAATAAAATCACTATTTGAGGAGAATTTGCCTGACGCTAGAAATGGATGCGTGTTGGGAACCTGCTCACTTTCCTATGAATGGTTCTGCTTTTATCGTTAGCAAGTTCTGGGGAGAGCTGTTCCCTGATGATGGAGGAGTCACCTACCAAGTGAGTTGACCGCTTACTCAGGCTGACCGCCCCATCCTGCAGCCTGAGTTCAATTACTCCTCTCCATCATTGAAACGACTCTTTTTTTGTCATTAAAACTCATCTGCAAGATCACATTTGCTTCTTAAAAGTTTGCTTTTGGTTCAGCAGGTGCTCAAATTACATTTAATTCAATGTTGTTTTATTATAACAAGAGGAATCCCAGCCCACACTGAATGAAAAGACATTTTTCTAGAACTTGCTTTTGTTAACCTTGTTTTGCTTAAAGCAGCTTCTATGAATCTGTAAATGAAGTTAAGTCAGAGCTTAACTGCAGTTTTGCTAGTTCTGCACTACACCAAGTCTATGAAGGATGCCGTACCAGGGCACCCCAGCTCCCCCACCCCACAGATCTTATGCTTCACAGGGTTTTCAGATGAGCTACAATCCCTACCCTGTCACATTCAACAGGAACTAAGGCTGGGAATCACAGTCACATGCCCAGATGATAATTCTGTTCTGATACTTCCCAACAATAGCTAAACAGGACAGTTAATTTCAGTAAGAAAAGTACTACTCCTTCTCTTAGCCAGATCTGGAAGTAAAAAAACTACCTTCGCACTGCCATCATCTAACTTCCACCACTGAGCTTACCTACTTGAGGGGTGTGTGCACTTTAAGCTATTTTCTTGGGGGTGGTGTTGAGGGGGGGCTGAGATGTAGTGTGAGTTGTTCATGTTCTCTGCACCTAGAAGCACATGTGGAAAGAGGACTTTAGGGCCTCACTGGTATCACCACGGTGGCCTGACTTTGGCCCTGGCCAGGGAGCTGACCCACAGGGCACAGCAGCCCTCTCCTGTCTCGCCTGCTTCTCCCCTCAGCGGTGGATTTCAGTAGAGCCGCCTGCTCTGCTCCCCATTCTGTCTCTGGGGAATCCTCGCACCTCTGGCCTGTACCCCAGACCTTCTATGCAAAAATATTTTTTAATGATAAAAAGAAAGGGGATTTTATTATGTATCTTTGACTACAGCAAAGGCCTAGGAAATTCCAAGGGTCTATCAACTTCATGCACTAGACTAGACTTGGACTGCCGCCTGGTCAAGGAAATTAAAATATATACATGTTGTCCACGGTTGCTTTTGAGACAACTTTTTTCTACCATGGCAGATTTGTGTGGTTGTGATAAACTCCATATGACTCGGAAAAGCCGAAAGTATTTACAATGTGGTTCTTTACAGAAAAATGTTTGTCCACCTCTGAGCTAAGCTGATGCTTAAGAATCCCTCAAGTTCATCAGGTTCCCTCTGGAAGGCAATCCCCGAGGAAGACCTTTCCCATTCACTCACGAAATTACTCCTACCAGAGCAGAGTGTGCTGGGGATAGGAAAATATTTGATGAAGTGAACATAAAAGGAAATGTATTACGCGCAGTGTTTTCTAATACTTTTCTGTTTTACTTGTGCAAATGCAATTCCATCAACCCCTTTCATCTAGGTATGACGTCCATGAAAATGACCCTTAGGTTATTTTAAGGACTCAGGAATTTTTGCAATTCAACAAAACCTTTCTTCTCTTCTCCTTGGGTGCCTCGTCTTCCTCAGCCTGTTTTAGCGCTTGCCTTTAATTTTATTTTCCCAACACTCTGCTCTGTTACTGTTCTCCAGGTCTCTCAAGGCTGTGTCTTCTCTGCTTCATGAGCAGACTGGAGCAGCCACGAAGGGAAAGAATGTTCACAGAAACCTAGACCTGAATGTGCAAGTATTTGACCAACAGAGGGGTCAACTGAGTTAGGCGATCTGGATGCACCCTGGTAATGTGATGTTGGGTGTTTCCATTAACAAGAGTTGTAAAAAATTTCAAACTGCCTTGTTTAGGTTCTAAAGGATAACACCACAGGAGATCCCAACATTTCGATCATTCATGTGTGTGTATTTGGGGGGGAGAGAAATGAGCAAATTCTTGCATTTGGATTCTATTTCTATAAATATTGATGAGAAGTGTAGCTAGTGTTTTACATTATTTCCTCAACAGCCACGGCATTATTTTCAGTACCTCAACCTAAGCTGCATGTCAATAAATCCCAAGACTCCCACACTTGCTAAGGTTGATGTGGGAGGGGATGGTGTGGCCTCACCTTGGGCCACCTGATGTCATGTGACCTCACCGCCAGCACCTGTGAATGTGGAAGTGATGGCATGTGGGAACTTGTATAGATAGGGTCAGCAAGGTTGTCTCTCCCATATTACCCTGCATTCCTCTGACTTCATGTCACCTGGCCCCAAAGGGAAGGCCAGAGGATGGGGCAGGGGAGCTTTGCTCAGAAAAAGGAATCTGTTAGGAACTGCCTGAGTGCCCACAGACATCAGCTTCCATAGGGGTCACCCAGATGAAGTAGATGAACCTGCATAGATTCTTCCAGAATCAGGAATCTCCATCTGAGACTAGGAATTACGTTCTGTCTCTTGCCATAATTTGTTCCTTACTCTAAACTTTCTGTAAATACTGTCCAGGGACAAAGGAAATTATCACTTATCCTTCTGGAACCTCTTACACTCACAAGTAATCAAATAAGCCAGAGATAGTTTGATAACAGAAAAAGCCAAAAAGCAGGCTAATCATAACATGGTTGCTCCCCTGTGTACGTGGAGGAAACCCAGAAAACCTGAGCCCACATGAAGCTTAGCTAACACAAGGGAGGCTGAAAGGGAAGGCTAGCTAAGAAGTTTGCCAAGAAAGACTGCCGACAAAGGTCTAAGTTCTTCCTTCTCTTTCGAAAAGAGGTGGGGTCTTCTTACCTGTGGGAGATGCCCTTGCAGAGAAATGTCGTCAAAGGCAACCTCCACCCAGCCTTCGGGTCCCTCCCATGAAATCCATCTTTTACCAAAAACGTATTGGGGGGTGGAGGGAGCATGTCTTCGCTCTCCCACCATACGTTTAAAGTTCATATGTCACGGTGAACAGCTCTGTTCTCTTGTTTCAATTTAGATCTTTTGTTTTGTTTTTACGATTTATTTATCTGTGCATACAGAACTGGGGTACAGGCCAGAGGCGCAGGGGCGGTGAGAGGCTTCACCAGAGACAGAGCGGGGAGCAGAACAGGCCGACTGACAAGTCCACTGCTGAGGGGAGCAGCGGGCGGGTCAGGAGAGGTCTGCCGCGCCCTGTGGGCACCTCCCGGGCAGGCGGGGATCGAGCTCATGCTGAAGCGGCTTTAGCTTCTCAGCGCTGTGCTGTAACCCGCTGCGCCACCAGGGAGGGCCCTCAATTTAGATCTTAACTGCTTTGTCATCTGAAGTCATTGGGCCATGACTGAGTTCTTCTATGTCAACTTCAGATCCACGTGTCTTCCAGCTGTTTCCCTGGGGCTCCACTTCCCGTTTGCCTGGTGGATCCTTGCTGGGTTTTGCCAACAAAGATCCCTGAGGCTGGCCTGCCCACGGGACTTCCTCCTTTCCGTGCTCCATTTGGGGTGGTCAGTTGCGTCCTACAGCATTTCTACTGATTGCTGGATTAGCGTCATCATCTCTCTCAGGGGCATGGGTCTCCTCTTGGTCTGAGTTTAGGGGAAACCCCTCTCTGGTTATCGGGGATACAGA